TCTAGTGTTTATATTTGTCTTTAATCCTTGAGTTTGCTTTTATATGTGATGTGAGGTATGCATCTTGCTCAGTTCTTTTGCAGGTGGAGGTCCAATTTTTATAGCACTGTTTATTGAAAAGGCTATTATCTTACCTCATTGGATGCTTTAGTTCCATTTACTGTGCTTCAGTCCGTTATCAAAAATTATTTGTCTGTGTTTGGTTTTATTTCTGGATTCTCTGTTCTGATCCAGTAGTCTACATATCTATCATGGTATCAGTACCAAGTAGTTTTGATTTGCCATGACTGTGTAATAGGTTTTGAAATTGGGTAGTGGAAGGCCTCCTATTTTTTTCTTTTTAGTAGTATATTGTTTATCCTGGGTTTCTTTCCTTTCCATATGAAGCCAATGATTAGTTTTTCCATTTCTCTGAAGAACTATATTGGGATTTGGGTTGAAATTGCCTTGAATTCATAGATTGCTTTCAGTAATATTGATAATTTTTTAATTTCCTTTACAGAGTCTTCTTCCATATTATACAAGAATCTTATTGATCTTTGTATGTTGATCTTATAACCTACTATATTGCCATTTTTTTAGTTAGTTCCAGCAATTTTTTTATCAAGTCTTTGGGGATTTCTCTTACACAAGTGGGTACCCCTCAAAAAACAGAAAAAGGTCCACTGGGTGGAGCTTTCAGAGTACACATTTTTCCTGCTAGCTGAGCATCTAGCAACTCGCTCTAAGTTAGTGCACCTACTGGCATCACCTGGAAAGGTTCTCTTTGGTCACAGTAAATTTTTCCTGAAAGCAGTTTTTGCTCAAGCCTCATTTTTTGTGATGGCTGATTTAAGAGAACAGTGTGCGACTGTGAAATGTTGTTTCCTGATAATTCTGCAGAAAGTGTTGTGATGTTGAACACAGCTTACAAAGACAGCACTATGGGAAAAACTCAAATGCACGAATGAGTTTCTCGTTTCTAAAAAGGTGAAATGTCGCTTGCGGACAAACCTCGTTCTGGACATCCATCAATTTCCCCAAACAGACAAAAATGTCAACTCGTAATGCATTTGGACTTCATGCCACCAGGTCAGGCAGTTAATCAAGCTTTCTATTTAGAAGTTCTCAAAAGACTGCGCAACTGCGACAAAAAAGGCCTGCTCATGCAGCCATCTCAGTGCTCCAGTTTTTTGCAAAAAAAACATTATGCCTCTCTTGCTCCACTCACCTGACCTCGCTCCGTGTGACTTCTTTTTGTTTCCACGATTTCAGAGGGACATGAAAGGACAGTGATTTGACAATGTAGAAGAGGTGAAGAAAAGAACAAGGGAGGTGCCATCAGCCATCCACACAGATGAAAAATGTTTCCAAGAATGGAATCACAGATTTGACAAATGTATTAAGTGTAATGGAGAGTACTTAGAAGGTAACAAGATTGTTTTGTAAAAAAAAAAATTAAATACATAGCTTTGAAAAAAATTCTGGTGTTTTTGGGGGGGTATCCCCTAGTAAAAGATCAGTAAGTAATGTAATGTTTCATCTTTACCAATTTGGATGGCTTTTGATTTATTTTTCATGTCTAGTAGTTCTGGCTAAGACTTCCAGGGCTACATATTAAATAAGACTAGTTCCCAGTCAGAAGGAGAATGCTTGCTGTTTCTCCCCACTGAGAGAATGACCTTTATATTGTTGTTGCTGAGTGTTTTTGTCAAGATGGATGCTGAATCTTATCAAATGCCTTTTCTGCATCAATTGATATAATCATGATTCTTTCCTTTGTTTTATCTATACTGTGGATAACACTGATTGTTTTTCTAACATTGGACCATCCTTACATAAATGGTATAAATTGGAAATAAATATTTTAAAAGCTACATTCATGATAATATTCAATTTAGATAACTTAAAGTATATCCCAACTTAAGATACATCTTTATGCTGGTTACTCAGAAAGTTATACTTTGTCAGTACTATCCTAACCTCACTCAGCTGAAGTTCTGGAAGAGTTTCCAACAAAGTTGCAGCCTGATCCACTCTAACCAATCTAATAATGTACTGGAACCCCATCCCCACTAATCCTGTGACCCTGACCCTAGTGTGACCTCCTGGGAGTGCGCAGGAATGGGCTCACATAGCTACAGCTTTCCACAGCCTT